TTCTCTCTATATATAGTGTTCTCTCTATATATAGTGTTCTCTCTATATATAGTGTTCTCTCTATATATAGTGTTCTCTCTATATATAGTGTTCTCTCTATATATAGACGTCAAATTCAAACTAGAGGCGCCAAAAGGTCACAAAGTCGCATATATTTGACCTTCTCCTTCAGTTTAGTTTACGTTAGAAAAAAAACTATAGTTTGATACAATAGTGAAGATACAATAAAAAGATCCTATCGTTTTGTTAAACCTATCAAAATTGACTTCGAGGGCTGTTCTATCTATCACTTTGTGAGAAAAAACTAACACAGATTTCTCCGCTGTTCACTTCTCATTATATAAGGAGAACATAATGATAATTTACTATTTTAAATGTACCTATTTGTACTAGCTTTGAGAAGCATGGTATCACGTAGTTATTGAGTGAATTTTTTGATGGATTTCTGTAAACCAGAAACTTGATTATATATCAAGCTATATTAATATATAATACATATAATTTAGAACTTAAAACTAAAAATCCACCTTTTCGTGTGTTTTTCAAAACAAAACGTTAATTGTTTTTATTTATATATATTTCTAGTAAAATTTCAAGTTTTAACAACATTGCGCAATTATAGGCCAGGGTATCTAGAAAAATATGTAGACGTAATGGCGCCTTATATGTATCGTGGTCTAAATTTTCTTCGTTTCTTTTGATAGCATTTATAAAAATATAGCAGAAAACTTTTAAAGAATCTGCACTGAAATAATAAAACTAAAGTTTGCTTAATCTTGAATAAGCAAACTTGACGCAAATTCTGGTCTTTCAATCTCTGTTGTATGCAACAATTGCAAAACATTCTCAAATCATTGTAATTATAGCTGCGAGTTATGTCACATTTTATTGCGTTCTTAATCAATGGGCGTCCTCACTGCTCTGCAGGTATTTCTGTCAATGCTGCCAGCTAATTAAGGATCCCATTTTTAGGAATTTAAATTTCTTTTGCTTACATCTTGCAGCATCTATCAGGATCGATTTGTTGTTTAACTTTGTCTGATAAAAAATAATTGCTGGTATGACTTTGTGACCTCGTAGCTCTTCTATTTTGAGTTGATGTACAAGTAAAAAAATTGTCTAATCCATATATCTTTGCAGCCTGCTGGTGTAAACCTTTGATAATTCAAAGGTTTACGACATTGGGTTGCATTTATACATTAGAAAATCAGAGTTTGTGACAAAAACTCAATTCCTTTACTTTAATTTGACGTAACGTCCATGCATGCAGTATAATTATAAAACAAGATTAAGTAGAAAAATCATTTTTCTTCCCTCCCCCTTCCCCCCATACAAAATAAGTTTTTTCCCTCAGAAGTTATTTTTGCTTTTACGCTGAATTGGGGGGAAAAATGAAATTTTGAGTATGGAAAACTTGCCTCTTATAATGTCCAATTTTTATCCCCCCCCCCCCCAAATAATCTGAGTTTGAAATATCAAAGGTTTTCAACATCGAGTTCTAAAGAGATTTAAATATTTGATTTTGTTCCAAAGACTCAATTCCTTTCGAATAGAAAACGAATGTTGAGGGGCTTAGTAAGAAATTTGTCCAGGGGTTGGGCTTAATTTAACACTAGAAATCATAGTTTTCATTGATTTAGGGGGGGGAGCTTACAACACATAGCCCCATCCCTCTGGGGTTGTTTACATTTCACTGTGACGTAACTAGTAACTAGTTTTGTTGTAAACAGATAATTATTTCTCAAGGCCTCCTCTATTCACAAACGTTGTTATTGTTTACATTTTAACCTTTTCAAGATCTGTTTTTATATATTTCTCAGCAAGATGTAAGATAACCCTCTCCCTACCTCTTTAAAAAAATATCCATAGAGAAGGATTAATTCGAGGTGGTGATGACCCGACCCGAGCCACAAAACAAACTAAATGAGCTGAGCCGCTAAACTTCAAAATTCAAATCAATAAACAATATTGCAAATCATGGTTTACATTGCGTAATTCTAATAAATGAGAGGTTTAAAGTTAATACGTGCCACGTGGCATTTCAGTCAATGCCGCGCGAGTTTAATTAGTTTCCGGTTTTGATGTGTTGTGTTCAGGACAATTTATTGGCAAGGTTGACCCCAACTCTCCAGCTGAAGCAGCAGGACTACGCGAGGGAGATAAAATCATAGAAGTTAATGGGGTCAATATAAGTCAGGTGAAGACACTATTGTAGTTTTTATTAGCATTATATTGGTTTATTAGCATTATATTGGTTTATTAGCATTATATTGGTTTATTAGCATTATATTGGTTTATTAGCATTATATTGGTTTAAAAATCAGGATTTGAAAAGAGGTCATCTCTACAGTTTTAGAACAGTCAGGGCCAAATTTGGGGGAAAACTCATTTCGGGGTTTTCCACGGAAAAAAATCTAAAAATGAAACTCTGACTTTCTAATCCATATATCTTTGCAACCGAACAAAACTTGAACCTTTCTTTAAAAAAACTGTACGGTGTACAGTGTATTGTATATTTGTAGGAGAACCATAAACAAGTTGTACAGAGGATTAAAGCAGTGAAAGAAGAAACAAGACTTCTTGTTGTAGACACAAAAACAGAAATCTATCACAAGGAAAATTATTAAATTTTATCATTTTGATCATGCACATAGATCATACATTTGTCAAGAATCAGACGACATTAAAGTGTTGGTCTAGTTTTTATTAGGCCAGCGATTTAGCTGGGGTTTATTTTTTACATGGTTACTTAAATGAAAATTATAATTATCGACCTAAATGAAGCTAAATTATGTGATTTAAGCTCTAAATGAAAATTAAAGTTATAAAATTTCAAATGTAAAAATTAAATATCTGTAAAATAATTGACGTCTCATTGGTCAAAAGTTTAAAAGTTTGATCATCGGGAAGAAGATGAGTTTCTCTATTCAAAATTTCATATTTCTGTCATTATTTACTAGTTTTTTTCTCCAATTTTTACCTCGTTATAAAATTTAAGAATGAATTTAGGAAAAAGATATTATAATCACTAGTTCTTTACCTTACGTGAAACATCTTTCTTCGGATAAACATTTTGAATACATAGATACAAGAATACAGGTTGGATATTTGAATATAATACAAGAATACAGGTTGGATATTTGAATATATAGATACAAGAATTACGGTTGGATATTTGAATATATAGATACAAAGATACAGGTTGGATATTTGAATATATAGATACAAGAATACAGGTTGGATATTTGAATATATAGATACAAGAATACAGGTTGGATATTTAAATACAATTTTGTAGTTTTTCTTTGTTTATAAATGCTGAATACAATTTTATATTTTTTCTTTGCTTTGGTATCTAAATATTTGGTAGTGCATTTACCAAATAGATTAATAAGTACAATAGATGGCAACAGAGAATTAATGAACCAATTATACATGACGTCACAAGTGTCAAATATAATAAGTAAAACGAATTTTTCTCACACTTATAATTGCATGTTCTCCAAGATTAAATAAAAAAGTGTAAAAACAGAAAATAAAGAACACATAAAATTGCACTGATTTCACTGTAGAATAAGCACTTTATTCTAAAATTATCACTATTATAAATAATTTTGTCGGAAACAAAGACTGAGTTGACACTTGTGAAGTCAGAAAACAGCTGAACTGAGAGTGTACAATGAGTGTACATATGAGCCAATAATGACTCAAAGTGGATTTTTCTGCATTTTCTAAACATATCTAAAAATATCATATACACAGATCACATTTTGGAAATCCCAATTCTAAATTTTTATTTTACAGGCTTTCTGTCATTAAAATTCAATCCTCATGTTTATTTTGATAAAAGCATAGAATTTTAACGATTGCATAAATAATAAATGAAATATGATATATAAAGATTATAACGTATGTATTTTGATTTTGTTATCCTTAAAAAGTTTTTATAATTTACAATATCATATTTCTTACTTAATTTTATTTTTGTTAAGACACCATCAGTTCCAACTATAGAGCATACGCCTTCAGTAAAAGGGCGGGACAGTCCGGTTGGGGGACGGGACAGCCCAGCTGAAGGACGGGATAGCCCATCTGAAGGACGGGACAGCCCAGCTGGGGGCAGGGACAGCCCGGATTCTGAAGCTAGTCTGGAAGAGATCCCTCCAGATCACAGGTACATAACAAGGTACATAAGAATTACGAGAAGGGAAATATTCTTTAAATACCACAGAACAGAGATTAGAATAGAAGGGAAATATTCTTTTAATACCACAGAACAGAGATTAGAATAGAGGGGAAATATTCTTTAAATACCACAGAACAGAGATTAGAATAGAAAGGAAATATTGTTTCATAACCACAGAACAGAGATTAGAATTGAAGGGAAATATTGTTTTATAACCACAGAACAGAGATTAGAATAGAAGGGAAATAAGAAATCCCTTGGTATGAATTTGTTCAGCCCCTTTGAGCCTAAAAAGGAGTTCAAAGTGTACAAATCATGTAAATGTTTACAAATTTTAAACTAATACAGTATGATCGCTGGGCATATCCGTTACAGTTTCTTCTTTTTATAAAGTTTATGCACTGAAATGAACTCGGGTATATAAAGTAAAGCTTATGCTGAGATTCATTCGGGAATTAATAACAGGTTGACAGATAATTGATTTTGAGAAAATTAAATAATTTTCAAGAAATTTTATTTCTATGAAAAGATATTCCATAAAAAGATGTTTATATAGCACGAATGTACACAAATGTACACCTGCAGTGTGGGAGAAGTACAACAGAATGACAGTTTTACACTTTATTGACTTAATTCCACTCTATACTTATCTATTCTCTTTGTTCTATTCGACTATCTTTTAGCTTATAATAAGAAACCCATTAATTCTATCACTAAAAGTCCCCTTAAATAAAAATCTAAAGGTCTCGCTGGTTTAGCAGAAAATCCAATTTTATTGTTTCACTTGACTCAAACTCTAACCTTCCATTCCCTTTGTCTTTGAAATCTGACTTCTGTAAACTTTAAACCGGAAAATAAAGATTAGAAAATTAGATTCTGAGGCAGGTGTTTAGTTATTTTAAACTCATCATCTAAAATTTTTTAACATTCAGTGAGAACCAGATAATTCTGGTAGAGGAAGACGACATTAAATCAATGATTAATTGTATTTGATGCTGTTACAAAGAAAATAGTTTTACTATGGCCGAATTTAAAGAATTTGAGCGGCGGTTTAAATTTAAACCGCGGCTTAAATATGGTTGGTTCCACTTAAAATTGTATCAAATGTTTCAAGATTTAAGCCGGCGCTTAATTTAAACCGGGGTTTGGAAGATTTAAACCGCGGCTCAAATTCTTTAAATTCCATCTCTAGTAACTTATTAAATCACTTTTTAAGTAAAATTAGTCTGTTTGCACACTGTACAGTTGCTATGACCTATGTTCATTGGAATATTTAAAGTCATTACTGGAGTCTAGCTAAACGCCGTCTTCCCCTGTTCCGAAGTTTTCTAGTTCTAACTAGTTTATCCAAAAGTTATTTATATAATTTTAAATCTAAACATATTTATTATTACAGAGATGTGAAAAGAGAGGACAGCTCGTCCTCGGAGCGAACTCTTTCTAATCGGTCCTCTATGTCCTCAATTGGAAAGGTCAGTTCATTAAAGGGACTTTACAGTCCCTTTAATGTGATTTTAGACGTAACATAAAGTGACCTTCTTTTATAGATTGACATGTCCGATTGACAGCGGTAACCCTTAAAGATAGTTTTTTTAATAAGTGACTTAGAGAATTTCTGTTATACAAAAACAATGGAGGAAATTGTCAGAAATAAACACTTTTTTGACTAGAAAACGGAAATATCTTCTACAAAATTGATCAGATAAAGGTTTAAGGACTACCGATGTGAATCAGACATCTTAAAATGGAGGTTCACTTGAAACTACCACGACAGTCTCTTAAGCCTGATTCGGACAATTTTAGCAATATTATTAAAAATTATGTTAAATCTGAAATTTTGTCATTAAAAAATCCAAAATCTTAAGATTCGTGCTTTAATGTCTAAAACTCTGTTTTGTTTGTGAGTAGTATTAGACTTTATTAAGGTTGAATGTGATGCATAAAATAGCAAAGCTTGATGATAGATAAAAAAAAGATAAAGTGAGAGATTAAGAAATTAAATCGTTTGAAATCTGAGAGAACTGTTTTTTTTTTGAAGTGATTTGAAAGGAATGCTATAAATGCTTTTTTAATCACAGGGAGATCCTAGAAACATGAGATAAATGACATGCGTAGTTTTTATGAATGAAGACTTCTGAGTTTTCTAAAATGTGGTCTACCATCTTTGTTATTTGTTTAACAAAAATACACAGTTCTTAATTCACTAACAAATTTGTATCGGCACCATTTGACAGTGTGAACTTGTGAAGGTTCTAACACTTCAAACTTTATTCTTAAAGAGTTTGCTTTTTTAAACTA